CAGGGGGTTTTTTTTTTTTTTTTTTTTTTTTTAGAGTTTATATTATTGTGAAAGGTGGCGTGGCAAGTGTTAACCCGCCTAAAGTGGTGCTAACACTAGTCATCCCGCTGGGCAGTGGATAGATCGGAGCCAAAATTTCTTGTCAGGGCAAGCAATTCTGTCATTTTTATCAGAAGTAGGGCGGAAATTGATCATCCAGATGGCTTTTACTTAGCCATAAAATGTGTGATAATTTAAAAATCAAGTTGTGCATTTTAAAGTGTGCATAATTTGAATGTTTTGATAAGACCATTTGATCAGAGGAAATAATTTTTCAAGCGTTTGGGAAGGCATTATGTCGCTCAGTAACACACATAAACTTGATTCATTCTGGTTGTGGTGCGCCCAAGATAATCATTTGAACAAGATTAAATTCAACACCGTTAAGTCACACTGATCGACATCAAGGAAAAAAGGGGGGGGGGGCAGAAATGGAGGAATCTGAAGAGTCTTGGACAAAAAGCGGGGGCGTGGGGGGGCAGGGGTCCCCTTAGTTAAAAACAAATTAAAAATGCAGTGATGCATATTTTAAATCACCGTTTCTTTCATACAATGTGTAAATGGGCATTTGACCATTGCTCCTGGAGAAATGCTACGAATAAAACATCAAGATACACCAACTAGTTGTGGACTACTAATAAAGTAATAAAGAGCGTATGATATATGATAGCGTAAACTGGAAATACCTAACAAATTCACCCGGATCATACACCTGAAGATGGCTTGCTGAAGTTATTCTAAAAGTAGAAGCAAAGTACAGGGAGATAACTCGAGAGTTACCAATTAATCAAGGCCTCGGACAAGGAGATTCGTGTATCCTTTTCACCATCACGTGAGAAAAAGGCATTAGAAACATACATGTGACCACCAGTGGAACCATTACAAATTACTTCCAGAGAGGTTCCGTAGTAAAGAAAAACAACCATCAGGAACTTTACAAAGCGAGCCACTGCAGTACCTAGCATATGAAGACGATATATAGCGCTAATTGGTAGAAACAGCGTTGATATCATTAAAGCATTCAGGAAACTTGAAGATGTCCCTGCCAAAGCTTTTCTTGGGATAAATGATGCGAAGACAAAACATATGATAATGTCACGAAACACGCACAATGGTAACATCGATACAAACAAACACAGCTTTGAGAAAGTTGATTTTCAAATATCTAGGGGTGACTATAAATGAGCACAATAAAATGGCGATATATGCGAACAGGAAGTCAGACTGGAGCGGTCAGTACGATATTTATAACCGAATACTATAACTTGATTAGCCCTAAATATACGGGTCATATGCTATATATATATATATATAGCCTAGCGATATTTTAGTGAGTCCACTTATTTTAATCGGTTAAAGGCACCCTACTATGCTTTTTAAAGCTGTTTTTTGTTATATTTTTGTACACATTGTGCTCCTGGCTGGGGAAAAGTGGGGGTGGAAGGGGTGGAGAAGTAGCAGTGCACTCTCTGAGAGATAGCTGAAAGAAACACTGATGCTAATAATAACTATATTTTTTAAAGCATGATGCCATCATACACTTTATAATTAACACCCTTTCCTACTTTCAAAGTCATGCATATTTCGCATTCGCGAAATAATTACGTAGAAAAGTAATTTTTTACACGTCTCGTGGAGGAAATTAAATTTAATCTAGAATGTTCCAGAAGGTTCTATATTGTTCTACGGGGATATATAATGGGATCTTAACGCTTATTCGAACAAACACGCACTGTCACTGAGCATGATTCCATAGAGGAACATGATACTAATGGGTAACGGGATTCAACAGTACACTGGAACCCACTGGTTACGCGATCCCAATGGGGAACGGGATCCCAATCGGGATCTCACCTGGAAACAGGACTGCACCGGGAGGGGTCCTAATGCAATTCTGGGCCAGGTCGGGTATACAGATAAATGCGAACGGGAAGTAATACTTCGGCTCATTATCGGCAAATTTTCGAAATATTGAGATCTTTATAATCGATCAACGTAAGCTTCTAAAAGATTAGCTTTATTAAATATAGGCCTACGGAAAATTAATCATTAAATATATGGAGCGTAGCGTTATTTCATTGATTCCACTAATTTTAATCGGTTAATGACACCAGCTAATATTCTTTTTAAAATTGTTTAAAATTGACAATGCGGTAGTTTTTTTAAAATAAAATATATTTTGTTTTATTGTTGTACATATTTTGTCCGGGGGCATTTAAATTTTCCGGGGGGGGGGGGGGCACCCCCCCCCCCCCCCCCCCCCCCAAGCTATAGCTGAAACACTGCTCTCAACTAACCTTACAATCATGTGTCATTCATTGATATAAAGTAGCAATTAAGCTTTCACTTTCATAGTTGAATTAATTCTATAATAGGCCTATATTTTAATTGCATTAATTTTATCCCGGGATTTCCCGGAATTCTGGGATTTCCCGCCATCCCGGAATGATAGTAACTTTTATCCCGTTTTCCCGAGACAATCAAAACGCCAGGAAATCAGAAACCCTAGCCGAAATAAAATTCAAACCCTAAAAATAACGCTTTTCTTGAGTTTACGGGGAAAACTCTGGACATCTGATTGACCCACTGTCCGCCTACCCATCGAGCTGAAACTTTGCACATAGACTCCTTTCTAATGACAACATATTCTATAAACTTTTCAGCCACACCCTATAACACCGACCTCCAAATTAATTTTTCCTGTTTTTCAGGAGGAAGATGAAGAAAAT